GTTAGTCTCTAAGGTGCCACAAGTACTCCTTTTCTAGTTACATGCAGTGTTGCTAGTTTAGTGAGTGTTTGGAAATTTGAATGGAAATCGAAATATTAATACACACTTTAAAAGCACATAAAGTGTATGATAAAATATGTGCATCTGAAGAAGTATAATAGATTTGAGAGGTATGAACATAGACTAGCTTCCTTTTACAGGTGTTGTTTTTTTTTTTAAGACCGTGTCAGTGCATTCACTTCGGTGATGTTGGCCAACCTAATAATTTCAAATGATGATTTGTAAGTAAAGTCTCAATGAGCTCTCCCCGACAGCTAGTGGTGAGCTAGGGGCTGGGGGAAAGGCTTCAGGACCAGATTGTATTTACACTCACACCTAATCTACCTAGGTATCCAGCAAACAGAGCTGTGTTGTCCAAGTGATAGATTTTGGCTGGGGTTGGGTTACAAATCACTTGGGGGGGGGAGGGGTGTAATGAAATGTTGTTGTTCTTATTGTATGAGTAAAGGGCAGTAGAACTGTACTTAGCCTGTGCTGGTTGAGGGCAAAGAGAGGGGGTGGGGACAGGTGTTTTGCTTGATGGTCCGCCTGAGTCACAAGTATGATTTAACCTGCCCTCTCCACTGTTTAAAGACAGAGCTTGTTAGGCTCCATAGAGAGTCTTTTGTTTTGTTAAGTGACCACTGGAACTGAAATCAGTGATAATCGGGTCTAAGTGCATAGACAAACTGTGGGACTGTGTTTCTGTGGAAGAGATGGCCCAGTCTGCACTAGCACCAAGGTTCCCCCACTGAGAGCTCAGCTGAAATCACTGAGAGCCGGGTGGAACCTCAAGAGACCAACTCGCAGAGGTCACAGTGGCAGGTGGCAGCAGAAGGTGACGGTGCAGGGCCATTGGCAACAGAGCAATGGAGTGAACGGTGGCACAAAGAACAACAGTGGCCAGAGCGAACAGTGAGCAGCTGCAGGAATGAGCAAGGTGCCTTCTTCCCCCCCACCTGGGAGGTGAATCATGTGAAAGCACCTATGAACTCTGAGTCCCCACTGACCAAGGACAACACCGGTGAACGTTAATGAGACTGTTAAGAATGCTGGAGACACAACACAGTTCATGCGAACAAACATGGCTGTGGCATCATATTTTCAATTTAAGCAAGAGATACCACACGCTACAAACTGGAAGCCAGTGTTAAGTGCATTGTCACTTGTTCATCCTGAAGTTGAACACTGGTTCTGAACAAGACGAGCAACTGCTCACTATCTTTCTGCAAGAAACTCAACTGACTGGCTAGAAGCATCTGGTGAAAGATTCAACAGTTGAAAAATTGAACCACATTCAAAAAATTTGCATACATGGCTGATGAATGCACCGATGTAAATGGGCATCAAGTATTGAGACATTGTGTACGTTATCTTGATGTCACTGGTTGGCCAGTAGATGCATTTCAAGATGTTCAAGTTATTGAAGACACATCGGCTGCATCTGTGACAACCCACATCTTAGAAGAGTTAAATGCTTGTCAATTGGACCCCAAGCAGATGGCTGCTTGTGCATTTGATGGAGCTGCAAACTTCTCTGGAAAACATGGTGGAGTACAAGCTTTGCTCAGAGAAAAGTGTAACCCTAATCTCTCCTATACACACTACAGAGGCCATCTACTCCAACTAGTGCTAGTACGAGCTGCAGACTCTTCAAAAGACATTTAAAAAGCTATAAATTTAATGTCTTCATTATATTCTTTTTTCAGCAAGAGTCCAAAAAGACTGAATATCTTGGAAAATATAGAAGATACACTGGGACTGAAGTTCAAATTAGTCCAACCTGGGAAAACCCTCTGGTTTTCTCATGAGCGATCCTTGGCTGTTGTCTTAAAATTACTCCAGCCTTTATTACTGGCTTTGGAAAGTATCTTCCAAGATGGGATGGATCTAAGTAGTGAGGCTGGTGCATTACTTTTGCTACTATGTTCAGAGAAGACTATTGCCATTCTCTCTCTTGTACGTCTACTGTTGAAACCACTTGGGTCATTTAAATAATGCCATCCAGGCATCTGCTACAACAGTAGTAGATCTTTGTCCAGCTATAGAAGCTACAAATGGATCAATCAGAGAGCTATCCATTGAAAAAGTACTGGAAGATGCAAAGACTTCAGTCCAGAAGTTGACTAATGGAGGCATTTATATTGAATCCTTAAGTGAAGAGGACAATAAGTGTTTAAGTTAACTGAAAAAGTACACGGACTTGATTCTTAAAAATCTACAACAGCGACTTGTAGATTCTACTCAACATCTCCGTAGCTTTTACAGATCCCTGTCCTATAAAACACCAACAGTTGAGTGGAGTGAGGCACTACCAGCAATAGGGCTGCCATGGGATCAGGACAGAATAGAGAATTTGAACACAGAGTGGAATATCATACGACGAATGAATGAAGATTTGACTTCAACTTCTTTTTTTATCATCACTAGTGGCTCGATCTGATCTTTGTGCTGTGTTTCCTGGGATGAAAAAAGTAGGAATTCATCTCTTGCTACTCCAAGTCACAACAGCTGTAGTTGAGCGTTCTTTTTCATCATTGAATATAATTTTGTGTTCTGAAAGAAGTCGCCTTCTGCCTGATCACATGAGTGAACTAATGAGCATATCAATTGAAGAAATGGAAATACCAGAGACACGAGAAGCCACCAAAGATGAATGCATTGCGTTCAAGAAGTTCATTAACAGAGTTGTGCAAAATTATAACAAGAATCATAGAATCATAGAATATCAGGGTTGGAAGGGACCTCAGGAGGTCATCTAGTCCAACCCCCTGCTCAAAAGCAGGACCCATCCCCAATTAAATCATCCCAGCCAGGGCTTTGTCAAGCCTGACCTTAAAAACTTCGAAGGAAGGAGATTCCACCACCTCCCTCGGTAACGCATTCCAGTGTTTCACCACCCTCCTACTGAAAAAGTTTTTCCTAATATCCAACCTAAACCTCCCCCACTGCAACTTGAGACCATTACTCCTTGTCCTGTCCTCTTCCACCACTGAGAATAGTCTAGAACCATCCTCTCTGGAACCACCTCTCAGGTAGTTGAAAGCAGCTATCAAATCCCCCCTCATTCTTCTCTTCTGCAGACTAAACAATCCCAGTTCCCTCAGCGTCTCCTCATAACTCATGTGTTCCATTCCCCTAATCATTTTTGTTGCCCTTCGCTGGACTCTCTCCAATTTTTCCACATCCTTCTTGTAGTGTGGGGCCCAAAACTGGACACAGTACTCCAGATGAGGCCTCACCAATGTCGAATAGAATAGAAACCAAGAAGGATGTAGATGTAGTGCTTCACAGAAGGCTTGAGTAGCCAGCTTTAATTTGTGGGATTGATTTTAAAACATGAGTTAAATCTAATAAAATGGTCATGAAACATTTTTTTCAGTTTTTCCTATGGTGCCATACAGCCCACCTTCACCCTCATGGTCTCACCTTTCATTGGCCTTGACCCCCCCACATCCCCCCAAATTTGAAAAAAAACAAACCCCCATTTCAATTCCTGGGGAAAACACTGGACCCGCTGTGTTTCTGCTGCAGGAGACAAAACAGGGCAATTATAGAGTGGTCCATCCCCTGTTGTGCAGTGCCAGAGTCTGGCAGGCAGAGGTTTAAGGGCACCCAGAGCATGTGATTGCACCCCTGACCATCTTGGCTAATAGCCATTGATGGACCTGTCCTCCATGAACTTAACTAATTCTCTTTTCAACTCAGTTATACTTTGGGCCTTCACAACATCATGTTCAATTATGTTAGAAGGGAAGGGAGGAAGAGATATGGGGCAATAGTTGAAGGGATTGGTGGGATCAGAGGATGGCTTTTGAGATTGAGGGAGACCAGAGCTTGTTCACATTTGGTTTTAGTGAGATGGCAATGTGTCAGAGGATCTCCTATTGTGAATGGCACTCCAGGCATGTTAACTGGGCCAAAGATTATCCATCTCTAAAACTGTACTGTAATCCTCGCTGTTCTGCGCAGGAATCGATTATTTACAGTTCAAAGAATTAATTGGTGGTGTGGCTACAAGGGCAATACACCTCATGCACGTGGACATCTCGCACTGTAGAGTCTCAGAAATATTAAGGAAAACGAAATGAGTAAAATTATTTGCATTTTTTCTTGTTTGTCTTAGCTATGTTGTTCAGTGGTACTTTCACTTGTGTGTAGGAGGCAGAGCTTTGAAATATTTGTAGGAGAGAGAGAAGGAGCAATTCTGGGATTGGTTCTGTCTACTTTTAGCCGGTTTTGTCAGATACTAACACTGTAAAAGTCACTCTAGTCATCTTGCGGCATCTTCTGGGAGTAGCCTGATTGTTTATATGATTTTCGGAACAGTCAGATGAGTGAACTGATGATCTTTTCTTTTGCAAAATTCCTTTTTATACAGTGTCTAGGCTGAAAACAATCCCAGGCACCCCTGAACAAAACCCCAAATAAAACTGCTGATTGAAAGGGGGAGAAATGTCCATTCTAGCTCTGAGCATAGGATTCATGGTGGTCAAAAGAAGTTTTTGTTTAAGGGACGAATCTCTCCAGCTTGACTTGGCCCACTAGCTGGCCCACTTGGAGTGTGGGTGGGAGCTTCAGAGTTGCTTAGGCGGGAGCTAGTCATGCAGTGGGGACTCAGCTACTCTGTGCTGCTAATCCAGTCACTCTCTGCACCTCCACCATTCTTCTGCAGCGTGGTTGCTCTCCCTAGGCTAATTCCTGTCTTAATAACTTGACCTAGCACAGCAGTGAAGACATGCCTTTAGTTTAAACCCCTGGCTGTGTGAAGCTCATCTGTGCTCATAGGCCACTGGAAAACCTGAGGAACCCCCCACAACGGGGCTCACTGACCTGTGGCAGGTCCCTGTAGCATCTAAGGCATGTCAGGATCCTTTTCAACAAAGGCAGCTGGGTGAAATTATTTAAAATCAATATCTTTCCTATTGAAATGAGAGTATGTTCTTATGTTTTTCTGATAGGTCTGTGTGGGACCCTGCCAAGGCTCCGTCGTGCCATCCCCCGTGATACTAGTCGCACAGAGGGCTTCCCTATCAACGCAGAAGTGACATACAAGTGCGTTGATGGCTGTGTTAAAATCCCTGGAAAGTCGGACACTGTAGTTTGCCTTTCAAACTCAGAGTGGTCAAGCATTGGAGAGTTTTGTGATCGTAAGTATTTTATTTTCTCTGGAACAAATTTGCTCGGGCCACCCTTCGCTGAAGGAAATGTCAGACTTTCCCCCACTGAATAGGTCTACTCAAAATTAGCTTTAATAACTAGTTTCAAGTTCCTTGCTGGATCAGTGACAATATACAGTTAACCTGCTTGTTCAATAATCTTGTTGCAAAGCAGCCTGGGAACATCCATCAGTGAGACGACTTGTGCTTGGTTCCGAAATGTGCGATTAAGATTGACAGGAATGGGAAGTAATTTTATATTTGAGTTTTAACTTCAAAGAAATAGGTGGGGATGCCTCCATCCTCGGGATGCTCATACAGTTTTGCTGCATCACCTGGCATATATGAAATAAAGCTGTTTCAGAAATGATACAGCTGAATAGTACCACTTATATTACTGTATTGCATAAAGCTCCTGGCCAATGGTAGCCAGGGGGGCGGTGCCTGCAGGTGAGAGCTGCACGGAGCTGTTTGCACGCCTCCGCCTAGGACCCAGACCTGCTGCTGGCCGCTTCCGGGGCACAGAACGGTTCACGGTGCCAGGATAGGCAGGAAGCCTGCCTTAGCATCCCCGCTGCACCGCTGACAGGGAGCTGCCCCAGATAAGCCTGTGCCCCAATCCCCCTCCCCAGCCCTGAGCCACCCCCCAATGGGGGAGGGGAGGCTACTCCTGCACCCCAAACCCCTCATCCCCAGCCACAGCCCAGAGCCCTGCAGCCCTCACCCACGCACCCCAACCCTCTGCCCCAGCCCTAAGCCCCTCGCACACCCCTCATCCCCAGCTCCATTGGGGCGCAGGCATCAACAATTTTCTTAACTGGGTCACCAGAAAAAAAGTTTGAAAACCACTGCCCTAAAGAACTCTAAATCCAGATTAACAAGAAGATGCAACAAATGGATGAAACAAATGGGTGCAGGTGGTTGGGGGAGGGAGGGCAGCCTGTTTGCATGTGGATTAGCTGTGCTTGCAGTGTGGCTGGCCTCGTTTCTGGCTTGTGTAAAATAGCAGGGTTCTACAGGCACTACAGCAAAAATAGGGGTTTTTTAGAGGTCAAAGTAGCGGCTATGGAAGAAAGCCTGGAGGTTCTCTGGAAGTGGCTGAAGAGGCGATGGTTGGGTATGCTGGTAGATCTCCGCTGGTAGTTGACATGCCAAGATGAGACCTCTGGTCGGTAAGGCAGGGCTGTGAGGAGATGTGCTTTGAAAGAGAGGATACAAAGCTTGTTTTTGATGTAGTGAAGAAGGGAGTCCTGGTGGAGGGATGCAAAGAATAGGGGTTTACATAATCTGAAAAAAAGCCAAGTCCATAGAGAAGAATATAAGGGCCTGGACAAGAGCTTTGGCAGTCTGGACTGAGAAAAGCTGGATCTTGGGGAATTTAAGAAGGGAAAATGGCAAGATTTGGATACAGCTGGGACATGGTCAGGCTTGACAAAGCCCTGGCTGGGATGATTTAATTGGGGATTGGTCCTGCTTTGAGCAGGGGGTTGGACTAGATGACCTCCTGAGGTCCCTTCCAACCCTGATATTCTATGATTCTATGAGGGTCCATAGAAAGGGCTGAGTCAAAACTAATGCCCAGATTACAGGCATGAGCAGTTGAGAGGAGGATGATTTTGTTCAATCGGTGGCGACTGAGGATGTGGAGAAGGAAAGATTTGCAAGGGAACACAAGCTCTGTTTTTGCCATGTGCAGTTTAAGCTACTGGCAGGGAATCCAAACGGGAGTTTTGTGAATGGTCAATATAACCATCACACCCAGAGCAGATCGGATCCTGAAGACAGGATGCAGAAGGAAAAGAGGGTGGGCTGAGGAGAGAATCCTGCCATATTCTTGCTGATGGGGCAGGGGTGGGGGAGAGTTGGAGGATCCACTGAACTAGACCTGAAAGTACAAGATGGAAGAGTCAGGAGAAAAACCGTGAGAGGATGAGTGACAAAAGCCAGTAGATGATGGAATTAAAAGAAGTAGAAATGCTTGATGGTGTCCAAGGCACTAAGAGGTCAAGGAGAATGGGGTGGGGTAGAGGTCCTGGGAATTATGTGAGACTTCAATAAAGTGGAGAGGATGGACACAGCCCGGGGAAGGTCACAAGGTTCAAGCTGAAGACGACCACCGTGGTTGTAAACAGAATGTTCAGTTAGAATTGGAGATGAGGAGCAGGGGGGAAATCTGTCTTTCTCTTTCTACATGCTTTAATCTACCAATGCCTTTCTCTCTCTTAGCTCCTTCCTTTTCTCTTTTACTCCTTAGTTTGTATCACCCGCTGCTTGGAGCAGCACCCAGTTAACTTTGTCCAAGTTGCTTGCCTCTCTTCCTTAAAAATAATTGTAAAAAAATCTCCCTTCCCCTACATATTTTGTAAAGCGTCCTGCTCTAATGCTCAGATGCTGTTCCGTGGCTGTACTGTAATAGCTGCTGCTGCCTTTAAATAGGGCTACCAGATAGCAACTCTGAATAAACAGGACGGGGGTGGAGGGTAGTAGGCGCCTACGTAAGAAAAAGTCCCAATAAACGGGACTGTCCCTTTAAGAACGAGGCATGTGGTCACCCTACCTCTAAATCATAAACTTTTGGCGAAGGTTTTTTAAAAACGTGTGTGTGTTTATATATAAATAGAAAGCTAAAAGTACAATTTTGATGCTTATCTTCATAGCTAAATCTTTCAGACCCTGTATCTTTTTTTTTTCTTTTTTTTTTTTTTTTTTCGGTTAGATGACTGTGGTGCCCCACCGAGGTTAAAATCTGCTGCCTTAAGTAAGGAAGATGAGAGGAAGAATTACCATCCTAGCGGGTCCACTGTGCGTTATGTCTGTCGTCCAGGATATGAGAGGACCGAACTGACACCTGTCATTACTTGTCTTGAGAATTTAACATGGTCAGAAAGCCCTGAGTTCTGTAGAGGTGGGTGTCTTTTTGGTCACTTTTCTCTCTCCATTGAGCGAGTGGCCCTCTGTGAGCAGACAGGAGTGTTTTGTGTTAAACAGGTGTTTCACATTTCAGCACCGGCTTGTCAGTTTTAGTTTGGAGAAACCTTTTTGTCAGGTTTTGATGTTAAATTTAAATGAAGCTTTGAATGGAGAGAGAAAGCATAGTGAGTACTATTGAACAGTAGACAGCGTTTGCAGCAGTTAAGCTTTTCATTGTGCTTCCCAGCAGCAATCGGAAATCACAAATAATGCAGTAAAGTTAATATCCTATTATGGTAAATATCCATTTAAAAATGGTGAGCACAGTATCCCTGGAAACTATATATGAAGGAGAATAATCGTATTATTTTTGTCATTTCCAAAAATTCACACATTTAAAAATTCTAGCCTCGGACACCACTCATTCAGCACACAGTTCAACCAAACGGAATCACCGTATTAAAAAATAAATACAATATTCAATAACTATATGTATGGCAAAGTTGTTCTAATACCAAAATACATAACAAAACTTAAATGACAAATGGCCCACATTGTGAAGAATACCGTAAGTTTTGGCAAAGCTACCTATATTGAGTCTATATCTGTTGTATTCCCTGCAAAACCCTACGTTAATACAGGATGAGAGGAAGGAGCCAACTGAGTGATCACCCTTAACCACAGCTTCTTGCATGTATGTGTTATATTCTGTTTGACAAACATGGGCTGTATGTTAATACTGATGTGCATTTCTTGTGCTGTCTTAGATTCAAGTAGTCTGACGTGCCTGATTAGGAACATACTTGATGTATGCAAGAGGCCATATATTTTTATGTGCAAAAATCCTTGTCCACATCAAGGACAGAGATGTTTTCCCAATATACTCATTAGTGCTGTTTGTAGCTTTCTCTGTGGCTCCCTGAATGCAGCATCTCTCTTCTGTTTGGCCTGTGGACATGGTGAATTTTTGAGTGTGTGTTCTTTATGGTAATAAGTGCCTGGCACCAGAGGAAGCGTCACAAATAACTCCCTGTACCAGGTAGGAGGAGTCTCTGCCACTGAAGTTGACAATGTGATATAATTAAACACTTAATGTGGACAATAAGAATATCCACAGTTAAGTAGGGGAAAAAACCCAGACAGGAGAGTGAACTAACTGGACTGTGAGTCTGCCATTGCCACAGTCCACGGGCGGCCAAACTTACTGACCCTTCGAGCCGCATACACATACAACAATCTTCAGACGTTCAAGCGCTGGAGCAGGAGGCGTCTGCTGGGGCTCGGGGCTTCACCCCACTCCTGCTGAAGCCCTGAGATCCCCGCTCTGCTGGGCAGTAGCCCCTAACCCACCACCCTGCCCCAAGGCAGAGGTCCCACCCCCCAAGTATGGTAGGAGGGCTCCGTGAGCTGCTCTTTAACTGTAAAAGAGCCACATGCGGCTTGCGAGCCACAGTTTGGCCACCCCAGCCATAGTCTCTTCTAAGTATGTTAGAGTTTGTTGCAGCAACATAACGTGCTAATAGTGATCTCGTTCTGTGCTAGGGAAATCTTGTGGTGTTCCAAAAGGACCAGAGCATGGCAGAGCTGTTGATGTAACAAATCACCTGTATGGTGCAAAAGTCAACATAATTTGTGATGACGGGTGAGTTTTGGGCAACCGGTGCTGAGTAATTCACAGAGCTTAGTTTGGTGTAGAGCTACAGGGGAAAAGTGGAAAATTAATAATAGAAATTCCGATCTAATTTAAAAACACAATCTGAGCAAGTGCTACAGATCTGCTGTCCTGGCTTCAGGGCTCTATTTAAAAAGTATAACCTTCAAGCTGAATTTGGCCAGGTGTGGATTATGATCCCTCAGTCCTCCAGTTGAAAGATTAAGTTGGGAGGAAGCAGGTGCAGCTACGGTATCATGGGGTGTGCTTCAATTTGTTCAAGCTGCTGTTGGAAAAAACTACCATAATATGTGATTGGATTCTAGTTTCATTGGATTGTGCGGGTACTTTCTGGACATCAGAGTAATTCAGCAGGGAAGCACATGGCATGAGCATGGATGTCTTCGTTTTAATTAATATATCCTTTTGTTTTTCACTGTGTCACCCATTTTGGTGGTATGTGCAGGCAACAAGGTTTAGATCCCTGTGCCGGGATTAGAATGATTGGGAGGGGCTGGTTATGGAATAAATTGCCTAGGGAAGTTGTGGAATCTCTGTCATCGGAGATTTTTAAGAGCAGGTTAGACAAACGTCTGTCCGGGATGGTCTGGAAAATATTTAGTCCTGCCTGAGTGCAGGAGACTGGACTAGAAAACCTCTCGAGGTTCCTTCCAGTCCTATGATTCTCTGTCTTCAAACCCCACAGCGACTGGGAGACAAAGAGAATGCCTTTTCCTGTAGCTGAGCTATCGGCCTACTTCTCAGGTGATGTAATACCAACTAGCTGTTATCAGATATCAAATCACTTTACAAAGGAGGGCAGTATTGTTTACCCCATTTTACAGGTGGGGAAACTGAAGCGCAGAGGGGAAGTGACTTCCCAAGGTCACCCACAGGCCAGAGGCAGAAATGAGAATGGAATCCAAGTTTCCCGAGTCCCAGTCCGGTGGTTTTTCCTCTAGGCAATACTGCATCTGAGTTGTACTCACAAGAATGTCCGAGCCATTGTTGTGATACTTCACATTTTCCTGTGCAGAAGCGTACAGGAGCTGCACACCTTGGAATTGTGTCCGCCAATGAAAACTTTGGGTTTAAGTGGGCTGATGAGGTTTGGACATTGAGAGGTTCAGGTTTGGAAAGAGTGGCAGCAGCGGGACAGCCCTTGGGCAGCTGTCTTCTCGCCCTGTTGTTTCTGCCAGCACAAGAGGCCTTTGCATGTAATGTTCTAAGTTGGAAGAAAAGCAGTAGCCACCTGGCCACAAATGATGTTCATGTCTATCCCTGTTAGCCCCTGCCGTTTCAGCAGACTGGTGAAAGACCCTGCAGAAACCAGCTTTACTAGGGGCACCTCTCATCTGTTTCTCTAAACCTCTTTCCCAAATAAATAAGGCCACGACCTTTAGCCTGTAGTGTTAAAAGAAGTAGTGAAGGTAAGTGACTGCATTGCCAGTATGCAGTACCGTACTTCCTGTGCAAGCATTAGCTAGCGCTCTGGCTAAGTGGGTCTTGGGTGTGGACTGTTGGCAACTCTTTGGTAGAAGAGCAGAGTTAAAATAGGAAGAGGAATGATGGCACTAAACAGGCTGAGCTACTGACTTCCAGAGTGACAGAGATACCCTTTGAGTACCTTTCTCCCCGTTTAGCTGGGGCTGTAATCAAAGGGGTAGAATGACAAAAGCACACATCCGGAACACTGTTCTGCAGATTGGAACGAGGGAGATGTGACACAGCCTCTTACTCTGCAAGCGCAAACCTCTTTGACATGCAAACACTTTAACAGTCTGGAAAATTACTAATTTCTTTAGTGTTTTTCAAATTCTAGAACGTACCTAGGGACTTCTTCCACCTTCTGGAGATGTAAGAAATAAGCATTAAAAATGTGGAGAAAAGACACTTACTTGTTGTTTCCCTTTGCTTTAAGGTTTAACAAAGGTATTGCCCAGTAATTCCCAAGCATGTAGCTAGTATAGACTTTGAGGGGAAGGATTTCACCTGCTCACATGGTCTCTGCAGTCTTCAAGCCACCTATTTGCTTGTTCTACATTGACTTTTACCAATCAGCATTCCTTGGTCCAAGGGATCATGTTAGTACTTACAGCAGGAATGACCCTACAGGTCCAGAATTTTGGAAGAGGGGTTATTACAGGAGTAATTAGATAGTTAGGTAAGAAGCTTTTTCTCTTTTCTTTAGGTTCAGATTACATGGGCGGACTTTCATCCAGTGTTTGTGGAAAGGAGATCAAGTTGAATGGAGTCCACTTCCAACTTGCCAAGGTCAGGCTATTTTTATGGATTTAAGAAGGACTCATGATTGGAACTGTTGCAGAGTAACCATTACAGAGCTCACAGAGCTTTCATGTGTGTTTCATATTCACTCAATGTCGATTGTCGATCATATATATATATATTTTTGGGAGCGGGGAAATCTGATGAAAGTGTAGGAGGATCCATTGTGTTGCTGTTGCCTTCTGTGGAAGCCACACTTCAAACAAACAAAAAAACCCCGCAGCCCTCTCTATCCCTACAGAGCACTCCCCTTGAGATTGCTGTCTGGTGTATAGATTCCAACCCAACTAACGACCTCATCACAATTGAACCCAGAACACGGGGATGGTGGAGTTGGATTGGTTTCTCATTCCTCCCCAAATAATCTCTGCTGCTTTTGAAGTCTTTCATCCAACTTTTTTTTATTTAGTGTAATTCCTCCCTGTTAATTATTCTCTTCCCTTCGCCTCAAAACCAACCAACCAACGAACCCTGGGACTCCACACTCAAAATCTCAGGCTATTTCAGAGTGAAATCCAGTATTTAAACTACTTCTTCCCAATTTATTTGCTTTAACTATTTTGTCCTTTTGGACACTACCTGGGGATCTGTCAACCAGGCTATCGCCATCTGGTCTAGAACCAGCTGCAGTCAGAAGGAAAGTCATAATTTAAGCTTTCAGCTTCTGGAACATTGTAGAAGCGCAACTATTGTCTTTCAAGGATGTCAATCAAAGAGCCAAGCTCCTTATATATAATGTGGGGGAGGGATATGGTCTGACAAGGCAGTTATCCAGGATTTGTTTAATGGAGCCAAAATCTTCTAGCTGAACGGATGTTGGGAGTGGAGAAAAGTTTGAAAGCGGAAAGCCTTGTAAATCTAAGGAAGGTAATGCCTCGCATTTTGTTAAAACACAGTACTAATTACACTCTCAAAAGGTTAAATTCCTCCCCAAAAGGGGAAAAAATTGTAAACAAGTGTTTACTTTACAATTCGCCTCTAACTGAAATGTGCATTAATATTCATGATGCCATTCTCTTTTCCTTCAGCGATTACTTGTTCTCCTCCTCCTAATATTGCCAATGGGACACACAATGGCAGCAACATGGAAATCTTTCACTGTAACTCATCGGTAACTTACAAATGTGACCCTAATTTCTCACTTACTGGAGAGGCCTCCATTCACTGTACAACTAAAGATAACATCAATGGAGTCTGGAATGGGTCTGCCCCTGAATGCAAAGGTGACTGCCTGTTTTTTTTGTCTTCCTCTTGTTCTACTTTCTCCCACCAGAAAAAACAATATTTTGGTTGCTAGGCAAACCCATAAACATGAGGAAATTGAGTTAGGCATTAATCCTCTAAAGATATAACTTGTGGGAAACCTGGTTGCTGTGGGAAACATAATCCTGAAGAAATGGCTGTCGCTTCACGTACACCAAAGGAGGAAAAATTAAGATCTCATGGGTAACCTTAATTCTGTGACTTCCTACCTTCTGAGTGCTCTACAATTTTAATAACTTGTTTCTGCTCTGAGTTTTATGTAACTTGTGGGCTTTTTAAAAAGAACAAAGACGTGTATGTGGAAGTAATGTCCCATCCTCTACCTCCATGTGTCATTGAGGTTCGACTCTTGGGCCTAAGGTACTGCAGCATCGACCTCTATAGTCTTTAACTTGAATTATAATAGGTGGCAGCAGGAGTAAATTGTTATTTGGACCAACCGCTAGAGGAGGATGCACAGCACACTAAAACAATGGATTATATATGCACAAATAGCCTCATTGTGTACACTGCATAGCCAAATATTTAGATTTGGCAAATTCTTTCGGTTAGGCTAAGTGGATGAGACTTGGGTCTGCCAGATTAGAGATCTGGGTTCTCTTCCTAGCTTATGTAACTTTCATTCAGGGAGGATGGGTTGCTCAGTGCGAACTTGGGTTTTGAAGGGCACAGGATTGTTAACAGCAGTCAGTAGAAATAATGAGAGTTGAACTCATCATCTCAATATCTTAATTAATGATCTGGAGGATGGGTGGATTGCACCCTCAGCAAGTTTACAGATGACACTAAACTGGGAGGAGAGGTAAATACGCTGGAGGGTAGGGATCGGATACAGAGGGCCCTAGACAAATTGGAGGATTGGGCCAAAAGAAATCTGATGAGGTTCAACAAGGACAAGTGCAGAGTCCTGCACTTAGGACGGAAGAATCCAATGCACCGCTACAGACTAGGGACCGAATGGCTAGGCAGGGGTTCTGTAGAAAAGGACCTAGGGGTTACAGTGGACGAGAAGCTGGATATGAGTCTACAGTGTGCCCTTGTTGTCAAGAAGGCCAATGGCATTTTGGGATGTATAAGTAGGGGCATTGCCAGCAGATCGAGGGACGTGATCGTTCCCCTCTATTCGACATTGGTGAGGCCTCATCTGGAGTACTGTGTCCAGTTTTGGGCCCCAAGCTACAAGAAGGATGTGGAAGAATTGAAGAGAGAGCAGCAGAGGGCAACAAAAATGATTAGGGGACTGGAACACATGACTTATGAGGAGAGGCTGAGGGAACTGGGATTGTTTAGTCTACAGAAGAGAAGAATGAGGGGGGATTTGATAGCTGCTTTCAACTACCTGAAAGGGGGTTCCAAAGAGGATGGATCTAGACTATTCTCAGTGGTAGCGGATGACAGGACAAGGAGTAATGGTCTCAAGTTGCAGTGGGGGAGATTTAGGTTGGATATTAGGAAAAACTTTTTCACTAGGAGGGTGGTGAAACACTGGAATGCATTACCGAGGGAGGTGGTGGAATCTCCTTCCTTAGAAGTTTTTAAGGTCAGGCTTGACAAAGCCCTGGCTGGGATGATTTAATTGGGGATCGGTCCTGCTTTGAGCAGGGGGTTGGACTAGATGACCTCCTGAGGTCCCTTCCAACCCTGATATTCTATTATTCTATTATTCTATGATCTCCTGATTCCCAACGCAATGCACCTTCTCTTAGGCCAAAGGATATTTTGACTTGAGGGATGGAGATGCATAGTTCTGAGTAACATATGGCAATACCTTGCAGCAATGCTCCGTGAGAACAGCATGTTCAGGGGCTTTAGAAGTCACTCTAGGAAGTTTTGATGAGTAAAACTGAAGGGAAATGAGAGATATTGGCAGTTTGTAACTCACGTTGGCAGCAAGAGGCACCACATTGAGCCTTTCCCATCCCTGCTGCAAACCACGGAACTGTTAGAGCTCTTAAAAAAGAAAAAAAGAGAGAGAGAGAGAGAGAGAGAGAACGTTTGTAAAGGGAAGTGGTAGGCAGCTCAATGTAGGGGTTGCTATGGGCTTCCCCTAGAATATATGAAAGGGATCCCAGCAGCAGTCTGCAGGGTAGCCCAACTGATAGTACATGGGCTCTCGCTGTGACAACGTGTAAGTGGGGTAAGAATGTCTTGTCTCTAAAGCTGCAGATTCCTAAATATTGGTTTGGCAAGCTCCTGGCTCTGAGTGGCCAGCTGGTGATGGGAGAATAATATAATGTTCATAACTGCTTTTTGCCTCTTCTTTTTGCCTTAGTCATCATAATTACCCAGGACAAACCCACAACTGTTCCTCCCGAAGGAGCAGAAGGAGCTGGTACTTCCTTCGATAAATTGGAAGAACTTGGATTTGCTAAATGTCTGGAATTTTGGATTCAAAATGTGGCCCACTTGGAGTGTGGGTGGGAGACTGAGAGTTGCTTAGGCGGGAGCTAGTCATGCAGTGGGGACTCAGCTACTCTGTACTGCTAATCCAGTCACTCTCTGCACCTCCACCATTCTTCTGCAGCGTGGTTGCTCTCCCTAGGCTAATTCCTGTCTTAATAACTTGACCTAGCACAGCAGTGAAGACATGCCTTTAGTTTAAACCCCTGGCCGTGTGAAGCTCATCTGTGCTCATAGGCCACTGGAAAACCTGAGGAACCCCCTACAACGGGGCTCACTGACCTGTGGCAGGTCCCTGTAGCATCTAAGGCATGTCAGGATCCTTTTCAACAAAGGCAGCTGGGTGAAATTATTTAAAATCAATATCTTTCCTATTGAAATGAGAGTATGTTCTTATGTTTTTCTGATAGGTCTGTGTGGGACCCTGCCCAGGCGCCGTCGTTCCATCCCCCGTGATACTAATCACACAGAGGGCTTCCCTATCAACGCAGAAGTGACATACATTGCAGAGTTTTGTGATCGTAAGTATTTTATTTTCTCTGGAACAAATTTGCTCGGGCCACCCTTCGCTGAAGGAAATGTCAGACTTTCCCCCGCTGAATAGGTCTACTCAAAATTAGCTTTAATAACTAGTTTCAAGTTCCTTGCTGGATCAGTGACAATATACAGTTAACCTGCTTGTTCAATAATCTTGTTGCAAAGCAGCCTGGGAACATCCATCAGAGAGACGACTTGTGCTTGGTTCCGAAATGTGCGATTAAGATTGACAGGAATGGGAAGTAATTTTATATTTGAGTTTTAACTTCAAAGAAATAGGTGGGGATGCCTCCATCCTCGGGATGCTCATACAGTTTTGCTGCATCACCTGGCATATATGAAATAAAGCTGTTTCAGAAATGATATAGCTGAATAGTACCACTCATATTACTATATTGCATAAAGGTCCTGGCCAATGGTAGCCAGGGGGGCGGTGCCTGCGTGTGAGAGCTGCATGGAGCTGCTTGCGTGCCTCCACCTAGGAGCTGGACCTGCTGCTGGCCGCTTTCGGGGCACAGAACGGTTCACGGTGCCAGGATAGGCAGGAAGCCTGCCTTAGCATCCCCGCTGCACCACTGACAGGGATCTGCCCCAGATAAGCCTGTGCCCCAATCCCCTTCCCTAGCCCTGAGCCCCCCCAAAACCTGGAGCCTATTCCTGCTCCCCAAACCCCTCATCCCCAGCCAGAGCCCTGACCCCCTCGTACACCCCAGCCCAGAGAGCCCCACACACCCTGAACCCTTCATTCCCAGCCCCGCCCTGCAGCCCTCACCCGCACATCCCAACCCTCTGCCCCAGCCCTAAGCTCCTCCCACACCCCTCATCCCCAGCTCCGTTGGGGCGCAGGCATCAACAATTTTCTTAACTGGGTCACCAGAAAAAAAGTTTGAAAACCACTGCCCTAAAGAACTCTAAATCCAGATTAACAAGAAGATGCAACAAATGAATGAAACAAATGGGTGAAGGTGGCTGAAGGAAGGCGGCCTGTTTGCATGTAGATTTTAGAGGTCAAAGTAGCAGCTTTGGAAGAAAGCCTGGAGGTTCTCTGGAAGTGGCTGAAGAGGCGATGGTTGGGTATGCTGGTAGATCTCAGCTGGTAGTTGACATGACAAGATGAGACCTCTGGTCGGTAAGGCAGGGCTGTGAGGAGATGTGCTTTGAAAGAGAGGATACAAAGCTTGTTTTTGATGTAGTAAAGAAGGGAGTCCTGGTGGAGGGATGCAGAGAATAGGGGTTTACATAATCTGAAAAAAAGCCAAGTCCATAGAGAAGAATATAAGGGCCTGGACAAGAGCTTTGGCAGTCTGGACTGAGAAAAGCTGGATCTTGGGGAATTTAAGAAGGGAAAATGGCAAGATTTGGATACAGCCGGGACATGAGGGTCCATAGAAAGGGCTGAGTCAGAACTAATGCCCAGATTACAGGCATGAGCAGCTGAGAGATGATTTTGTTCAATCGGTGGCGACTGAGGACATGGAGAGGGAAAGATTTGCAAGGGAACACAAGCTCTGTTTTTGCCATGTGCAGTTTAAGCTACTGGCAGCGAATCAAAACTGGAGTTTTGTGAGTTGTCAATATGACGATTGCATCCAAAGCTGAGAGAACATATCAGATCCCGAAGACAGGATGCAGAAGGAAAAGAGGGTGGGCTGAGGAGAGAATCCTGGCAGATCCTTGCTGATGGGGCAGGGGTGGGGGAGAGTTGGAGGATCCACTGTATTAGACCTGAAAGTACGAGATGGAAGAGTCAGGAGAAAAACCGTGAGAGGATGCAGTTACAAAAGCCAGTAGATGATGGGATTAAAAAAAGTAGAAATGCTTGATGGTGTCCAAGGCACTAAGAGGTCAAGGAGAATGGGGTGGGGTAGAGGTCCTGGGAATTGTGTGAGACTTCAATAAAGTGGAGAGGATGGACACAGCCTGGGGAAGGTCACAAGGTTCAAGCTGAAGACGACCACCGTGGTTGTAAACAGAATGTTCAGTTAGAATTGGAGATGAGGTGCAGGGGGGAAATCTGTTTTTCTCTTTCTACATGCTTTAATCTACCAATGCCTTTCTCTCTCTTAGCTCCTTCCTTTTCTCTTTTACTCCTTAGTTTGTATCACCCGCTGCTTGGAGCAGCACCCAGTTAACTTTGTCCAAGTTGCTTGCCTCTCTTCCTTAAAAATAATTGTAAACAAATCTCCCTTCCCCTACATATTTTGTAAAGCGTCCTGCTCTAATGCTCAGATGCTGTTCCATGGCTGTACTGTAATAGCTGCTGCTGCCTTTAAATAGGGCTACCAGAGAGCAACTCTGAACAAACGGGACGGGGGTGGAGGGTAGTAGGCGCCTACGTAAGAAAAAGTCCCAATAAACGGGACTGTCCCTTTAAGAACGAGACATGGTCACACTACCTCATAATCTTTTGGCGAAGGTTTTTTAAAAACATGTGTTTGTGTTTATATATAAATAGAAAGCTAAAAGTACAATTTTGATGTTTATCTTCATAGCTAAATCTTTCAGACCCTGTATCTTTTTCTTCTTCTTCTTCGGTTAGATGACTGTGGTGCCCCACCGAGGTTAAAATCTGCTGCCTTAAGTACGGAAGATGAGAGGAAGAATTACCATCCTAGCGGGTCCACTGTGCGTTATGTATGTCGTCCAGGATATGAGAGAACCGAACTGACACCTGTCATTACTTGTCTTGAGAATTTAACATGGTCAGAAAGCCCTGAGTTCTGCAGAGGTGGGTGTCTTTTTGGTCACTTTTCTCTCTCCATTGAGCGAGTGGCCCTCTGTGAGCAGACAGGAGTGTTTTGTGTTAAACAGGTGTTTCACATTTCAGCACCGGCTTGTCAGTTTTAGTTTGGAGGAAGCTTTAAATGGAGAGAGAAAGCATAGTGAGTACTATTGAACAGTAGACAGCGTTTGCAGTAGTTACGCTTTTCATTGTTTCATTGTGCTTCCCAGCAGCAATCAGAAATCACAAACAATGCAGTAAAGTTAATATCCTACTGTTTTGCTGCATCACCTGTGAAATATGCAATAAAGCTGTTTCAGAAATGATTTTCCTGCAGAGTACCATTTATATTACTATATTGCGTAAAGGTCCCAATTGCATACCATTGAGCTTTATTTATACAACAACAACAAAAGAACCCAAACTGTGTGTTTCTGCCTACACTGAAGCCATCAGTAAACCTAAGTCCTGCACTTAGTTCTGATGAACAATATGGGTACAAGTGAATATGTATACTCCATTTTTTCATACTAAAATTCTTAACATTAAAGACTATAAATTTATTAGTGAGGTATTTCCTAAGGACCAATTGTTTCAGTTATTTTAGGAGTCTTTGAAAGGCCACTTCAGTGCACTCTCTACCTTCCTCGTTACTATTGTAATCTTTCATAAAATTTCCCTAAAAATCTTAGCGTGAGAATTGCTTTTACACGAGTCTGATTTTTAAATGCAAAACTCATTGACATCGGTGATGGCAGTTCTGCTCAATCTTTTGAAGGAGTTACCCATTTAATGTCAAACCAGCAGCTATGGAAGATACTAAATGACCTTCCTCTAGTAAGGACAGCAAAAGTTTGTCTCTTGAAACGATCTATTTGGATAATTTGAAATACTGATTGCAACACTTTTTACATATGTCTACAGTGCAATTCAAAATCCGTGGCTGGTCCGTGCCAGCTGACTCGGGCTCCTCGGGCTCAGGCTAAGGGATTGTTTAATTGTGGTGCAGACGTTTGGGCTCAGGCTCGAGCTGGAGTTGTAGGTCCCTGTGAGGTGGGAAAGTCGCAGGCCTGAGCCCAAATATCTGCGTTACCGTTAAACAGCCCCTTAGGCCTAGAAAGCAGGCGTGGGCCAGCTGCAGGTGTATAATTTCAATGTAGACATACCCCAACACCAACCTATGATGACATGCTAGGGTGGATATTCTGATACCCCATCCAGACAGCCCACATGTAATGATTCTGTGCTTACTCAGTGTTTTGGCAAACACATAGCTGGCCAGTGCAGGCTTGGAAAACTGTGTAAGAGAATAGTTCACATCTCTTGGTTTATATTGTTGAAAGCCTTTAAATTGAGATTGGTTCTTTTCTTCTTTGTGAGGTCAGATCATGGTTTCCACTCGCTAATGATTATTCATTTTACAATGTGGCTGTGAGGGGTTGGGTCACAGACACCCCCTTGGTTTCCCCTGCCAGCTTGGGACTCCAGAACCCTGCCTTGTTGAGCCAGACACGCTAGCCTGCTACAAACAAGCTGCAGGCTTAACTGAAAACGGCTTAAGAAGTGCTCCTATCTCCAGCACCCAGATACCCAGTTCCCAAGGGGATCCAAACTCCAAATAAATCTGTTTTACTCTGTATAAAGCTTATACAGGATAAACTCATAAATTGTTCACCCTCTGTAACACTGATAGAGAGAGATGCACAGCTGTTTGCTCCCCCAGGAATTAATTACTTGCTCTGGATTAATTAATCATTAAAAATCTTATTAAATGTAAAAAGTAGGATTTAAGTGGTTCCATGTAATAACAGAACAAAGTAAATTACCAAGCAAAATAAAACACACACACGCAAGTCTAAGCCTAAAACAGTAGGAAAATCTCACCCTCAGAGATGTTCCAATAAGCTTCTTTGACAGACTAGACTCTTTCCTAGTCTGGGTCCAGCAATCTCTCACACCCCTGTAGTTACTGCTTTTGTTCCAGTTTCTTTCAGGCATCTCCTTGGGGTGGAGAGGCTATCTTTTGAGCAGGCTGAAGAGAAAATGGAGGGGTTTCCAGGGTCTTACATAATCTCTCTTGTGGGTGGAAACCCCTTTGTTCTCCTGTGTAAAATCCCCTCACCAAGATGGAGTTTGCAATCACCTGGGCAAGTCACATGTCTATGAATGATTCTGCTTTTTGTAGGCCAATGCCATTGTTTACATGTTAGTTTGAACGTTCCCAGGATGTGGATTGGCGTCTCCCAAAGTCATTACTTGAATAAGCCTTTCATAAAAACTGACTTATGTGCTTCCTACAGGAAATGCTTTAAATACAGGCATAGAGCTAACGCTCATAACTTGAAATATAAAAATGATACATGCATACCAATAGGATGAATATATTCAGTACATTATAACCTTTGCAAAGATATGTTACATGGCATATCCAGCCTAAAACATACTCCAGTTATGTCATATTTACACTCATAAACATATTTCTATAAAGCTTTATGGGGTGCAATGTCACAGAGGTGTTTTATGTGACTCCTCAGTGTGGCTTCATATGCATGGATTGTGGATGAGTTCCTGTAAGTTATTGACATGAACATGGTTTCATATTTTAGCTCACATTTTTGTTCTCTTCAGGGCCTGGCATTGATAAACACAGCATTGGCATGGGCATCGGCATCGGCATGGGCATGGGCATCAGTAAGTAACTTAAAACTGAAAAAAATAATTTGAAACACTAAAGCTGTGATTGTTTTGAGGTCCACAGTCCAGGCTATTTTACTATTGCACTTCCTCTATCTCATTCCCTCCCCACCCCTACCCCCCCGCCGCTTACCTCCTAAAAAGTCCTGCCTTGTGGTGCCATGTAAAATATATGCCCATGGTTGAGATTGCACTGCTGTTTCTTGGACAGAAGCCTATATTAATACTCTTAGTTATTTTCTCTGTCTGTCCGCTTCTAATTTATTCACAATACTTTCCTGAGAGAAGAATCCTGCTGTGATTCTCTCTTTCTTAAAGTTGCGTGCACAATATTGGGGAACAGCAGGGGAGTGAAGAATCTCATTCCCCCCCGCTCCCTCAAGAAAAGTTTCACTTCTGTATTTCTGTCTTGGGTGAGAATACTTCCTCAACACTTAGGACTGCTTATTTGTCTGGTGCGCACCAAAAATGGAAAGGATAGGAGTCAGGAAGGGAAATTGTCAGAAGATCCAAGCAAACCCTTCCTAGGTTGGATTTGACAGTCTAGCATCTTTGGAATAATTTTCACTGTATAGGCCCCCATTCATCAAAGCACCTAAGCGTATGTATAAATCCTACTGAAGTCAATCAGAATTAAGTTTGTGTTTAAATGACTTGTTAAATTGGAGCCATAGAGCAGCTTTGTCAAGCAGCGGGTAAGGTCCCTGTGTGCTTGAAGCACAGCCATGCTGGAGGCGGCTCTAACAAGCAGGTTACTAGCAGTTTTCCTGATCTATGTGGACTGAGAATACGCGAACCCAAACTACTGTGCAGTCTGTGTTCCTGTTGAATGGTTCTAAGATGCAACAGTCCCTGTGTGCTAAACTGTGTCATTTGCAAGTTCAAGACACACGCAGATGGATTGATTTTTCTAATTTTTATTTATTCTTTTAAAATATTTCATCAGTCAAGGAAGAAATTAAATAAGCCAAACTAAAGCTTGGACATAAGAATACATACTATAACTATTTGGTTGAGAAAATTCCTTAAACAGCTTGGCGGCGCTTGAAGGGAAACAGATGATGAAAAGCTTGAACAACTTGAATGTTTAGTAGACTGAGTACTAAAGACACGTGTATAGACACATTAAAGATGTGATAAATTGGGAGATCCAACATCAGAACCATTGGATAAGTAAAAGCTTCTCATTTCTGGTCTGGGATACAAGAGGGGTTTTCCATACTACTTATCTGTGAAGTTTGCTAGCTGTGTTTACCAAAATGTTAAATAAAATATAACTTCATTGCCTGATCACTGTTTTGGTTTTGTTTTTTCTCTTCAAGGTGCTTTCAGCATTTGTGCTGGGATCGTTGTAGCTTACATTTTAGGGCAAAAGAAAAAACGGTAAGCTACGATATTTTTTTAAATTCTTTACTAATTTTCAACTTATCCTCATGGCATTTCATTACTGCATGAAAAGGTATTTTCTTGCATGTACCTGGATGTCAGGAAAAGTTACATATATGGTGCTCTGAAAATGCATCACTGAAGGAATGATGTTTAGTTGGTCTGGAATAAAAGAACCACAACACAGCCGTGACTGGCCTAGGTCAGCTGATATGGGCTCCCAGGGCTAGGGCTGCAGGACTGAAAATTGCTGTGTAGACATTCAGGCTGATGCTGTGGTCCAATTCGTGACCATTGTGCGTCATCGATGCATATTTCTTAAATGCACAAGAAGGAAAAGATGATATAAATAAGACTGCATGATGAAAATACAAATATCTCTGATAGATAACCCTTCCCTGTCTGCTCCTTAAGTGGCTATTAAAAAGCACCTGCCTGGTATTGTTTATATGGTGAATGAGATTTCTAGTATGACTATCCCACTGAAGTGAAGTTTATGCTCATGCAATATATTCAGAAGCCCAGTTTGCAATGTCATTTGAATAAAGACTCACATGTGTCATGTCATGTGCAATTTCTTCCATGCTATGAAATAATCTGTTCTTGATTTTATTGAGCTGTGGAGTCTCTAAAATAAATTATACTTCTACAGAAGTGACTGTGTGGGAATAACATTCTGACTTGTTCCCATAGCAAAAAAATATTATTGCTTGTTTTGTATTCCAATTTTCTTTATCCAGTTCTAGCTTTATAAAAAGGCTCCATCTTTAAAAAAACCCCGACTTTAAATTCAATTTGCTTGTTACATGAACATATTTAATCAGCAAATGTTCTCTCCTTTCTTGCCATTCAGTTCTTACAGTGTAAATCTGGATTCTACAACAGAACATGATTTCCAGATGAGTGAAACAAAAGCTAATTTGATCTTGAAAGGTATATATTTTTAGAGAAAAATATTTTCCTGTATCCAAAAGTATGCAGGTGGCGAGGTGGTCTTCTGATTAAAATCCATTTTCTTCTTTGCCCCACATCATGAACAAGATGTGTTTCCTACTAAAACCCTGCAACACTTTGTGTGCTTTGTCTGTTAAATGCAGTATGTTATTATACAGGTTCTTATACCATGCTTCTTTCATACTCTCCCTGAGGGGAGAATTAACATACATTTATTGAGGGGGATGATCTATGTCCCACATTAGCTGTGTAGATGTTTGGGCTCTGGCTGGGGCCCTGCAAAGGGGGAAGGTCCTTTTGTTGTTTGTCCCTTGCAGTTACTACCTCTGCTGACAAATTAACCCTAGCCCTGGGACATCCATTTTGCCATAACCTCTGCTTTAACCTGAAATGAGTTTAAAATGTGTGTAAGACTGAAGTACATACCTATTTTGATTTTAATTGTTTGTCTTCCTTTTGCAGTATAAATGACAAATGACTGATGCTGGCTGATGGCTATGGATTACACATTAACTTTCACAACAACTTCTTTCCTCTGTTGAGCTGGACTTGTAGTACGAATCCACTGCATTTGAGTGCTTCTGAAGCAAGCAAGCTTACTCTTTATAGCCAAAGGGAATAGCACTTTCTTATACAAAGTAAGCAGCAATAAGCTTTTTTTATATTCAGGAAATGTCTCACACTGCTGCTGAGAGGGGGTGTTTATAATCAAACACTCTATCATCTGTCTTATAAGATTTAAAATGTTATTTACACCCTTTTTTTGTGACTGCAAGCTGCACTGAGTTTTATTTAGCAATAAGAAGAAATGAAGCAACTATAATTGAAGATCACAGACCAGGGCCCCATCCATGTATTTGTTTTAAACAACCAAATGTTGGTCCTGTGCACTAGACTGCATATATTGTTAAATTGGCACAAACTTTCTTGCCTAATAGAAGTGCTGTGACTGAAAGATCAGAGCAAGGCTCAGTTCTGCTGCTCACAAGATTGCATACATTAGAACAGGCCCCACCTGTTCCTGGAATAGTCATCACACACACCTCCCCCGCAAGGAGTTTCCAAGAAGGGTAAAACATGTCATTTCATTTGACTACACACTCACAATCTCAGCTCCCAGGCTGGGACTGACACTTAGGTAGGGTCCAACCCCTACCTTTAATCTCTTGAAAGGTGAGGTTTGCATTCATGAAGCTTAAAGCACAGCTGTATGACCATGCTATATAGCTTGATACACCATTTCCTAGCAGCCTACTTCTCCCCAGGTACCGACCCGTACCATCCCCACGGGCGTCCCCGGGCAGAGAATCAGAAGCACCGGGGCGGGGGGAGAGCGCGGTACCTTCCCCTCATCCAGCAGCGCCCGGGTGCTGTAGCGCGGGGAGCGGCCCGGCACCGCTCCGGCTCCTTCCTTGCTCTGGATGCTGGAGCAGCCGCCGCTCTCTCGCGCGGGAGCCGCTTCCGGCTTTGTACCCCGCCCCCGCCTCCCCATTGGCTGGCCAGGCGCCCAATGGGACGCTGTTCCCAACTGCGCATGCGCCGGAGGCCGAGTGTCGCGTCCCGTCGCGTCCCTCCCAGGCTGCCCCTACGCTAGGGACCCGCTACCTGAGCCGAGCCGAGCCAAGCCCGGCCCTGACGCAGAACAAAGACACCAGCAGACGGCGGCAGAGGCCTTAGGCCAGCCACAAGCCCGCCTCTGTCCCCTTGTTTTATTACCCCAACCCCTGAACTTGCACAAAGGGGACAAGGGGGGGTATTACCCACCAAGAGCAGGGACCAGCCCCTGCACCTTCACCTGGGGCAGGAGCTGCCTCATTACCACCCCCACCAGCCCCCCGGCTCTCAGTGGGTAGGAAGACCTAGGTACACCCCCCACCCACTTCAGTGTCCAGCCAGTGCCACCGAACGCTTGCCCAAACAAACAGTACATACTACGGGCTTGGAAGGCTCAACTGCAGGGGCCAAGACTACAGAAAGTGAGAATAAAATTAACAAAGAAGAGAGTTTGGCTGAAGACATTTCTCTCAGGCAGAGTCTGCTGCGGGGTTGTCAGCTAAGGCTGCCTGCAACCCACGCTGTCTGTTGGCTTGCTAGGTGTGGAATGAAAGGGTGCCTTCTGTATATACCCCAACATTCATTGTCTTTACTCCAAGGCAGGATCATCACCCAGGCCTTGTTTTCGCCTGCCTGCTTCTTTCTGTAGAGTTGGCATCTCTTTATTACATAGACTTTGTATGTAAACAGGTATGCATTCTGTTATTTTACAATGCTACATTTACATCCCCACACACATGCATCTTACAGAGTTTAAAACACATTTCCAGTACATACACACACACCTCCTTACATAGTTCTGTACAACACTGGACCACACTATGAATGACTAGCATGTCCCCAGCATTGAGAGGTTTCAGAGTAACAGCCGTGTTAGTCTGTATTCGCAAAAAGAAAAGGAGTACTTATGGCACCTTAGAGACTAACCAATTTATTTGAGCATGAGCTTTCGTGAGCTACAGCTCACTTCATCAGATGCACACAGTATGCATCCGATGAAGTGAGCTGTAGCTCACGAAAGCTCATGCTCAAATAAATTGGTTAGTCTCCCAGCATTGAGGTGACACCTCACCTCACATGCTTTGGGAGAACCAGAATGTTTGTATAGCAAACTCAGGAGGTTTCTGTACCTCCCTTACCAGTTGCCATTAACCTTTTGTGTCACAAACACCAGACCCATGGCAGAGAGTCAATGCGGGGATTTGTGACTAGCCACCGAGCCCTTTCGTAACCCATCAAACAAGTAACCCCCTGGTCCCAGGAGGTGGATTGCAGTGGCCCTGGGATCCCTCTGTGTTGTAACCAGAAGGCAATGCCAACCAAACACCCAGGTGATGCAAAGGAGGTAATCTACATGTTGCAATAGTACTGCTTGGCCTGTGACATAAGCAGATAGGTTACTTGTCAAAAATCCAAATACATTTCTATTTTGCCCCAGTACAAATTACAAAAGGTACCTTCTGGTGTCAGTACCTGGAATGCTAGTATCTGAAACAAGGAGAATGAAAGGTATAGAACAAGTTACTCCCAAGGGCATTCTGTACCAAAAGAATAAAAATTCTGTACACGATATTTTTTAAATCTGCAAAATTCATTTGTCAAATAAATGTGAAGGCTCCAGCATGGCATTGGGGAGCACAGGCCACTGGCTTCATAGATGTGGGAGATCACTCTGCAGCTCCCCCTGGGACTCAGCAGTGAGGCTGCACCCAACCCTGACATGGCACAAGGACAGAGCCTGGCCCGGAAACAGCCCAGAGCCCTGCCCCTCCTTGCCAGGTGCACTAGCTGTGGGCAGGCAGGATCAGCAAGGCAGGGTCCCAGTCTAGAGGGACTTGGTGTGTGGGGATCCAGGTGGGGGTTGAGAGGGTTCTGGGTGGGGCAATCTGGGTGCAGGCAGCTCAGTGGGGGATCCAGCTATGGGGGGGGACACCTGGATGCACAGGGGCTTGTTGGCGGGTTTGGGTGCAACAGTAATGGGACTGAGGGGGGGTGTCCAGGTGAACATGGTTGGGGCTCAGAGGAAGTGGGGGTCTGGCTGTGGGGGGACAGAGCTTGGTGTTACCTGAAGTTGAGCCAGCTAGTAAGCTTAGGAAGGACTAATGACTCACCAGAGTTTGGCAGAAAGCAGCACATTTATTATACTGATAGCTAAGCTCAAAAGAAAAGGGGGGGGGGGTCACACTCTCATACTTACGCTCCCAGGACAAGCATGGCACTAGAGATGTCAGGATCCTTCAAGGTAAGTGTCCCACTGTGCAGCAATGAAGCAATGAATCAATTCTGAAGCACTTAGAGGAGAGGAAAGTGAACAGGAACCATCAGCATGGATTCACCAAGGGCAAGCCACATCTGGGGTGGGGAGCAGGGGCTGTTTATACAGGGATCCCCATGGGCGCTCCGGTTTATAGTTTAACTCTTTGGGAACGGCACAACAGGCAAAGCAAGAGGAGCTTAACCAAGTAACTTTTACCCTCAACGCACACAAGAGTAATGGATATTCAGATAGAACAAGCAAAGCCCATATGGCTCCCCCACTCCCTCCCTGTCTCTGCTCACCTCCCCATCTTGCTTTTAGGGACTTGAGAGTCCACAGGGTTGTCCTCCTGCTGGCATTGTCAGGTGATACTCAGCTGATGTACCAGGCCATGTATTTCCAGGAGCTATTGAAACATTTCAACCCTGTGGACCAGGCCTCATCTGGAATCCTAGGTCCTATTTGGAGTCCCAAATAGGAGTCCTAACTAAGACAGCAGGACAACTACAACGCTTAGGGAAACTGCCCACAACTCATCAGAGAGGAGACTGAAAGAGTTTGGCTTGTTTGGCCTAAAAAGAGCAAATGTGGTTGCTCCCTTTAAGTACTCCAAGGAAGGGAAAGAGCCAGTGAAGCTAAAGGACAATGCTGGCCCAAAAGCCAAGGGGGATAAACTCACCAGGGATCAGCTGAGGCTGGAAATGAGAAGCCTGTTCCCACCCCCAGTGGAGGGGAAAGGTTCTGGAAAACCCCAAACTAGCAGCAAGCCGGAGCAGTTTTCAAAGGGGATTCTCTGTCATAACCCTCCCCATAAAAGAGAGCCTGGCCTAGATCCGGCCCTTAAATATACTTCCTGGCCCTGCTTTACTCACTGATCAGCTGCAGGTGGTGAAACTCCCTGTCCACCTGGAGATCCACCTGGCTCCTCCTCCAACCAAGGCATCCACAGCTGATGAGGACTGTGCTGTCAGCCCTTACAATGAGCTGCCCTGAGGCTCTGCTGACAGCTCAAGGTTCTCATAGATCTCAAAGCTGGAAGGGACCCCTGTGATCATGTTATCTGGCCCCCTGCCTGACCCAGGCCCGGAATTAATCCCTGCTGGAACCAGAGCAGATCTCTTAGGAAAACACCCCGTCTTGATTTAAACCTGGCCAGAGCTGGAGAATGCACTGCAGCTCATGGGGGGAGCTGTAAACCAGGATGCCTGCTCTGTCCCCAGCACTGGGAGGGGATTGGGGTCTAGTCTGGAGTAGAAGCCAGGGCTCCCAGGGCATGGACAGGGATGGGCGCAGGGGAGGGAGAAGAGGGGATTTACCACAGCCCAGGCTGTTCTCTCCCCTGAATGTCCTGGGATCTGCCAGTCAAAAGGACCTCTGTACCAGCCACCTACTGAGCAATAAGCCAGATCAGTGCTCCCCTCAACTCCCCCCGCCCCCAGCCTGGGCACTGATCCACAAGGCCCTTTCTTGCTTGCCTAAGGCTCCCCCTCCTATAACACTCTCCCACCCTGCTCCTGGTCAAGTTCAGGATTCACCTTGCCTGGGCCACCTTCAAGGTCTGTGCCTTCAACGTGCGCTGCTTTGGAGAGGCCAAGTGGCCAATGCATGGGTGATAAGAGCACAAATTGAGGTGCTTGCTGGGGCCTGGTTCTGAGAGCGGCCTGGCTCCACAGGCGGTTTTTAGGGACCAGCCTGGCTCTGGAGGGCTGGAGGTGGGTCTGTCACGGGCTCTGCCCGGAGAGCAGGAGCTGATGAAGCCAATGCGGTACCTGGCTGCCCACGCCTCCCTGCTCAGCATGCGTCTCTGCAGATCCTGGTGCTCTGTGACATTGCCATGGTGCAGCAGGACGGAGACACCACAGGAGAGGCTGTCCCAGCCCTAGCGAAGGAACTGACAGGGTACCAGGCCCAGCCACGAGGCTCAGGTTCTACTCCTGGTTCTCAAAGGGGAAGGATGGGTCTCGTGCAGTGGTTCTCAAACTTTTGTACCAGTGAACCCTTTCACATAGCAAGCCTCCGGGTTCGACCCCCATTATAAGTTAAAAACACTTTTTTATATATTTTACACCATTATACATGCTGGAGGTGAAGCGGGGTTTGGGGTGGAGGGTGGAGACCACTAACAGTTCAAATCTTCAGTGACAGGAAGTGCTGCAACTGAAAGATACGAGCAAGACTCTGTGCTGCCGCTCACAAGAGGCGTGTCACACAAGGCTCTGACCAGGATCTCGGGGCTTTAAGCCCCCTTTATACCTCTCTGATTCTGGGCTCCTCAGGCTCTGAGGGCCTGTGCAGCCTCCTGGGTACATTAGAGCACAACGCACCCACACAGGTCCCACCTGTACCTGGAATAGTCACAACCCCGCATAACTCTCACCAGCTTTCCCACTGCTGCTGCCAATGGGTTTCCCTGCAGCCAAGAATTCCAAAGCATGAAGTGCTCTGGCCACTTCTCTTCATGCCTTTGGCAGTACCCTACACCAGGGGCTGCATGAGAGGCAGCTTTCGGGCTGCTTATGCCAGGATATGCTTTCCCTGCACTGCAGGAATTCCTTTGGGGATCACACCACTCCCTTTGCAGTCCCTACACGCTGCAGGAGTTCTCACTGTGTACAGTTTCTTAGTATTTTTGAAAATTTTATTGCATGCAACTATAATAACCCCTTATACATCTCATCAGCAGGACATGAACTCGCAATTTCTGACACTTGAGTTCAGATAGCTACCACTAGAACTATAGAGGCCTTATAGCTGAATTAGGGAAGAGCCTGGCTTCCTCACTTATCCCTACTCCTGCCTAGTGTGGTGCCCCCAGAGTGGGAGACGCTCTACCATGGCCCATGTGCTATCTATGGGGGCAGGTTGGAGCCCCAGCCCCACTGTTTGCCACAACCCCATTGCAGCTCCCAGGCATCCCTAGTGCAACGTCTTCCTGCTGCAGGGGCATAGTGTCAGAGTTAAGAGGTGTGGGTTGTTTTGTTTTTTTTTGGCAGGGTGCCAACATTTGTCTGGCAAGGCATGAGAGTGAAGGGAACTGGTGATTTTTTTTTAAGTTGATATCTCAGCCAACCCTGAATGGAATTGCCTGGGGGGGGGACACAAAAAAAGGCATGTCTCTAACCTGAGCGCTTTCTATCTGCTGAATTTCAAAGGGCTGCTGTAAACAATGGCGATGTTTGAGAAAATCTAATTTCACAAGACTCTGTTGTAACAGAAAGATATTGCCACTCTCCATACAGGGGTCACTACCAGCTCCGTCTGTGAGTTAGAAAGAAGGGGAACAGGCGGTCTAAATTGTAAACAGACACCATTTCCCCTTACACTTTGCCTGACTAAATGTGGCTAGCCTTTGTGGCCAGATCTCAGCAATGAGCCCACTCTGAGTTCTGCGGAAAGGAGATGTATAAAATACGATATTCTTTTTATTAAAACATAAAACAAATGTGAGCGCTACTCCTGCAAACTGTACTCTTGTGAGCAGACCCTGTCGTTGCCTGGAGCCCCACTGAAACCAAGGGCCAAGCCGCAAAGGCTCAAGGCTCCAGCAGCAGAGGGCTGATGCCTCTTGTTAGACAAGCACCTAACCCACACGTGGGTGACATAAATATCACGTTCTCAGTGACAACTTGTAGATTGTGTTCGCAGAGATGCAGTAAAAATCAACACTTTGGAGGCAGATCTTCCAGTCTTTATGTAACGCTGACAGACCCCGATCATTGGCGGGTGGGACTGAACCTGGCACCTTTAGAGTTTACCAGTGCACCAGCCTCTACTGTATGAGCTAAAAGCCAGATGGCCCTGAGCTAAGGCTGCGGAGCAGACTCAGTAATCCTGCTCTAAGTGGTCTCAGTAGCACTAGACGAGAGAGAACACCACGCCCAGGACGGGCGTGGGTTTCATTTGCTTCTCACTCGATCCTTCTTTAACCGCCCACTGCAGTCAATGACTCTTGCCCGATTCAAGACTGAGGCATGATCTCTGGATTGCGCCCTGGGGTTCTCAGACGAAGGGGGGTCATAACCCCTCACGGAGTCACCGGGTCAGTGCAAGGGCGGCGTTGCGAGCTGTCAGCCTCCAAACCCGGCTTTGCCTCCAGCATTTATAATAGTCAGCCCCCCGCTCCCCTGCGCGGGCCTGGGCCGGCCGCAGGCTCGAGGTGAGGCACCGGCGACCGCGCGGGATGAGCCAGGCCGCGCCTCACCCGCCCGCCCGCTCATCGCTGCAGGGAAACCCACAGGAGCGCGGCCGCGCCGCCCGCCGCCTCCGCCAGGGACCCGAAGCTGCCCGCCAAGGGCCCCGGCCGGGCCCCGCGTGC